ATAGATGCAAAAATCCACAAAGAACTGTAGCAAATTGAATCCAATACCATATTAAAAAGTTTATACATCATGATCAAAGGGATTTATTCTAGGAATGCAAACATTAGAAAATCAATTTAACATTAGAAAATCAATGTAATATACCATGTTAAAAAAACAAAGGGAAAGAATCACATGATCATCTCAGTTGACACAGAAAAGGCATTTGAGGAAATCTAATACCCTTTCTTGATAAAAACACTCAACAAACCAGGAATAGAAGGGACATTCCTCAATATGATAAAAGGCATTTATAAAAAACCCATAACTAACATCATACTCAATGGAGAAAGACTGAGAGAATTCCCTTAATATTAGGATCAAGGCATAGATCCTGCTGTCACCAGTGCTATTCACTATTGTACTGGAAGTCATCGCTAGAGCAGTTATTCAAGAAAAAGAAATTAAAGATACTGAAGTTGAGAAAGAAGAAGTAAAACTATGCTGTTTGCATATGACATCTATATATAGGAAATCCCAAAGAATCTGTAAGAAAACTATTAAAGCTATTAAATCAGTTCAACAAAGTGGTAGGGTACAAGGTCAACATAATAAAAATTGGTTGGGTTTCTGTACACCAGCAGTGGACAATCTGAAAAGCAAATTAAGAGAAAAATTCCATTTGCAGTAGAATCAAAAAGAATAAAATACCCATGAGTAAATTTAACCATGCAGGCAAAAGACTAAAACTATAAAATGTTGCCAAAATAAATCAGAAATCTAAAGAGAATCTATGTTCATGAATTGAAAGAATTAATATTAACATGACAGTATTACCCAAAGTCATCTATAGATTCAGTACAAACCCAGTCAACATTCCAGCCTTTCAAGAAATGGAAAAAAATAATCATCAAATTTATATGGAATTGTAAGAGGCCAAATTGTAAGACTACCAGAGCAGTCTTGAAAAAGAATAACAAAGTAGGAATATGCACACTTCCCTATTTCAAAGCGTACTATACACAGTACACAGTCAAAGCAGTTTGGTACTTGTATAATGAGAGACATACCAGTGAAATAAAATTGAGTGCCCAGAAGTAAACCCATACATACATCTATGGTCAGTTGATTTTGACATGGGTAAGAAATTCGTGCAAGGGAAAAGAATACTCCCTTCAATAATGGGACAATTGGATCTCTACATGCAGAAGAATGAAACTGGACGCATATCTCATACCAAAAATTAACTCAAAATGGATCAACAACCTTAATGTAAGAACTGAAACCATAAAACTCTTAAAATAAAACATAGAGTTAATACTTTGGGACTTAGTTTTCAACAATGGTTTCTTAGATAATGACACGTGTACAAGTAATAAAAGACAAAATAGATAAATGAAACTTCATCAAAATTAAAAACATTTTTGTCAGCTGAAAATAGACATATCATATGATGATCCAGCAGACCTACTACTAGGTATATATCCTAGAGAAATAAGAGCCATGACACAAACAGATATATGCATACCCATGTTCATTGCAGCACTATTCACAATAGCAAAAAGAAGAAACAACCTAAATAAAAATAATCAGGGAAGGTCTCACCCAAAAGGGTGACATTTAAGGAAACTCCTGAAGATAGTCATGGAGTGAGCCTTAGTGTTGGGGGGAGGGAATCACTGGTGTGCCAGGCAAGGGGAAAAAAAAACAAAAAACAAAAAAACCGTCTTCGTGTTAAAGGACTTTATCAACAAGATAAAGAAGCAACCTACAAAATGGGAAAGTATTTGGAATCCATATATCTGATAAGTGTTTAATATCCAGAATATATAAAGAATTTCTACAGCTCAATGACAAAAAGACAGACAACCCAATCAATAAATAGACAAAGTCTTGACTAGGCATTTCACCAAAGAAAATGTATAAAAGGCTAATAAACACATGAAAAGATCTTTAATGTCTTTAGGTAAATGCAAATCAAAACCACAGTGAGACACCACTTCACCCCCCACTAGCATGCCTATTGTCAGGAAAACAAAACAAGTGTTGACAAGGATGTGGGGAAATTGGAATCCTCATTCATTACTAGTGTGCTTATGAAATAGTATAGTTGCTATAGAAAATAGTTTGGTGGTTCCTCAAAAAGTTAAACACAAAATCACCATATGACTCAGCAATTCCACTCCTACCTATATTCCCAAAAGACTTGAAAGCAGGGTCTTCATTGCTGTATTATTCACAATAACTGAAAAGTAGAAATAACTTAAGTGCCTATTGACAATAAAGGGATAAACAAAATGTATATACATATAATGGAATATTACTCAGCTATAAAGAGAAATGAAATTCTCGTAGATGGATACTATCACATGGATGCAGGTTGCCCAGTATTCCTTCCAAGGAGTGGCTGGCTGGTGGATTTGAACTGCCAGCCTTCTGGTTAGCAGTCACATGCCTTAGGCACTATGCCACCAGAGCTCCTTAGAAAACATTATGCTGAGTAAAATAAATACAAACACAAAATGACAAATATTGTATGATTCCATTTATATAAAGCGTCTATAAAAGGAAAATACATAAAGACCAAAGCTTATTAGTGATTCTCAGGAGCAGAGGGATATGGAAAGGGGGAGGTATTGCTTAAGGAGCATTTAGTTTCTTTTAAGGGTGATATAAAAATTTGGAAACAGATGGTGATGGTTGTATTACATGTTGAATGTAATTAATATCACTGAATTGTACAATTGAAATGGCAATTGTTTTCTTATGTACATCTTACCATGATAAAATTCAAAAGTTAAAAAACTTTTTATAAGCTTAAATATAAAATCTATACTTCACTCAATTATAAAATTATGATTAAAACTTGATTTTGTAAAACCAGGATAATAAAACTCTATACCCCAAAGGGCTGTTGTGTGAAGTAAGTTTTTTAGAAAGTGTTAGAGTAGTGCCTAATACTCACTGAGGATTAATTGCTATTGATATCCTCATGTTCATCATTATTCCCTTAATTTCAAACCCTCTCTACATAATACTGCTCTTCTGAAGATGTAACATACAAGTCTTAGCATCCTACTAAATGGAATTTTTACCTTGGTGATTCATTATAAAACTCAGTTCCAGCAGTGGAGAGGGGGTTGTAGCAGTCAGTGATCTCATCCAGGTACATATTACTCAGCTTTTATGGGTAGAGATTGTATAGATCTGTGTTGCCTAAAGTTTAATACTTTAGCACCTTCACTAGAGTTCAACCCCAAGCTGAACTGAATCCTTCCAAATCAATTCCTACTCATAGTGACCCTTTCAGATAGCAGCTGAGCACTCAACCAGTGTGCCACCAGGGCACCTTATGAGTCACTAGAGTTAACCAGTGTTTAATATTTAGATTTCAGAGTCCTACCTTGCCTATGGAATCAGCATCTCCAGGGGTAGAACTTAGAAATTTGATTTTTATACATATTAAAGTTTGAGAACCACTGGTCTCAACTACTCTCACCACATCATTGATGCTCTATCATTGGCATAATCAACCTTTTGCTGAACTCACGGAACAGTACTAATGTGAGCATATTGCATGTTTTGGTAGCGTAGTGCCTAAGGCACTTGACTGCTAACCAGAAGGCTGGTGGTTCAAACCTACCAGCCACTCCTCGCTAGGAAGATGGGGCAATCTACTTCCGTAGTGATACAGCCTCAGAAACCCAAGGAGGGGTCGCTATGAGTCGGGTCTGACTCGATGGCACATAACAACAACAACAACAACAGATGAAACCCAAATCTAATGACTGGATTTAGTTTCTCAGGGAGTCTTGACTATGTTTTAAAGCAGAGTCACAGGTCTTCACATTTTATTTTAACAGGATACTTCTTTCACTAAACCAATGGCTCTTGAATTGATTGTGATTCATGGTGATCCCATGTATGTCAGAGTAGAACTGTGGTATATTTTAATGGATGGTTTTTCAAAGTAGATTGCCAGGCCTTTCTTTGAGGTGCCTATTGGAGGGCTCAAACCACCAACCTTTTGGTTAGTAGTCAAGTGCATTAACCGTTTGCACCAACTAGGGACTTCTACTTCTGAAATTGTTGTTGTTATGTACTGTTGAGTTGGACTCGACTCATAGTGACCCCTCCTTGGGTTTCCGAGGCCGTATCTACAGAAGTAGATTGCTCAACCTTCCTTCCGAGGAGTGGCTGGTGGGTTTGAAACACCAGCCTTCTGGTTAGCAGTCAAGTGCCTTAGACATTATGCTACCAGAGTCCTTCTGTTTTGCAAATTTTCACAGACTTTCTTACCTTTTGTAATTCTATTTTGTTTGATGACTCTTGTTGGTGTTGCTGAATTTAGAAAATGATATATTTTTTCACTTGATTTTGTATTGATTAGCTTGTTGGTATTATTTGAAAGCTATTATTCTTAAATCCTCAGTCTTAAGGACTATGTTTAGCTAAAACCAAATCATTACCTTTTTCTTTTAAAATTATTTAAAGAATGGTGAATTATTAATCATATAGGTTGGAATAGTATCACTATCATTTCCTTCAGGATCCCCTTCCTCACTTAGACCTATTTTCCTTCTCATTAAGGTCTCATCCAGTATTATAATAAAAACAAAAACAAAAACAGTTGCCATCGAGTAGATTCTGACTTAGTGTCAAAGACAACAGCGAAGTACGCAATACTGTGTCCTTCTCAAGCAAAGAGCTTATCACCTTGGGCGTATGTGATTAATTAGAAATTAAAAAATCTCATTGTTTCAGAATTCTATGTATTATTTGTTACTTTTTCAAAATCTACTATTCTTTATATTGATCTTTTTACTTAGAATAAGTATGCTACATTTTTTAGGATAATTGAAAAGTTCTTTAAATACAGTCTTTTGAACCTATGATTTGTCCCTACATGTTTTTTAATTGAAAGCATTCTACTTACTAATTATATAAGCTGTGGAAAGGAAAATGTCTTGGTACATGAAGAACATCACTATTATTTGTAATATGGAAGCATGTTTGTACAGCTTTGGAATCTTTTAATGCCCAAGAACAAGTTGAAGGCTAGAATCTCCAAGCAGTGGGCTGACATTGGTTTCCAGGGTGATGATCCCAAGACAGACTTCAGAGGCATGGGCATACTTGGACTAATCAATCTTGTGTAAGTGAAAATAAACTTTCTTTTCTTCTCTAAATGGAATTACCTATACTCTTCCATCTGATTAAATTGTGATCGTAATTAGTGTAGTTTTTTCATATTATCTCTGAATTTTAATAGCTGCAGTGCTATAAGTACAAATGAAGACACTCGGAATGCATTTCATATGTGTGTGTGACTTCTTTACTTACCAATACTTTTCCTCTTCATTTCTGTTTCTGGCCTCCTTCTGATGCCTCTCAAAGAGGTATATATACTTTTTCTTACTATTTTCACTCTCTTGCCTTTTCTCTCCTGGTTTCCTGATTCCATTTTGGGGACTATAACCAGATAAGATGATAATAAAATCTCTTCACACTTCTGTGACAACTGATCTAAATCGCTGACTTTTCAGACTATGAACTCTCCTTTTTCTTTAATTCTATGTGTAACCACATATATAAAATCCCAAAAAATAACTCCACTCAGAATTGATAGCTGAAACTGGTCTAGAAAATAAACTGGAAGATTAATTTTCTCCTATAATATATTCTAGTGTTTGGATCTGTCTCTGAATTGTAATCTACAGACTATAAAATACCTACAATGGAAAATCTAATTGTTAACACTTTGGATAATACTTACTGTGAAGCAATTAGTCTTGAAATTGAGCTAAATCAGGTTAATATTGAGAAAAAATATTTAGGTCTGTATGGATTAGGCTAATTTTGGGGGAAAGAGAGACAATAAGGTAGGATTTCAAAATGTAAATATTTTTCTAACTATAAAAGTATTTAATTTTCTGTAATACCTAAATTTTATGAGTGTGAAAGTTCCCTGTAATTCTACCTCCCAGAGATAAAGCACAGAATTATTTACAAATAATAATAATTACAAAAAATCATATTACCAATTTTTGACTTTGATAAGCAGAAACCTGCATTTGGAATTTAAGTAGAATAAATGCAGTTTGTTTCTATTTGGACAAATTATAAACTATTTTAAAATTCTTTTTCAGGACACATGGATCTTTTGTTCATAGTTTTAAAGGTCATGTTTCTTCTTGTCATTTTTAAACTACTAATTTTATGTCAAGAAACATTGCTATTTGAACTGACTCACTTTTGGTTGAACCCATGCTAATCTGTTATTTCCTTTTTTAACTTTTGCTGAGTAACCTTGCTTTTGGCTCTTTTCCTCAGAAATCAAGATTTCTAAGTATCTGCCAGAAGAGAATTCAATTTAGCTTAAAGTTTAAATAATTTAATAGAATCTGACTTTAGACTGGAGTAAGGGATTCCAGTAGCACTTTAAATGACTTACAGATATTTTCTCCTATTTAAAGCTAGTATCGAAAAATGACCAGGATTCAAATATATTAGTAATTATTTGATTGGCAACAATACACAAGTAATCCCCAACTTAAGACAACTCCATCATACATTGGTTCTGATTAAGTCAAATACCACGTCTTTTTTTGGTTTTCATTATTATTGCCTTTTATTATCAGTATCTTTATAAATCCAATCTTTATTTGTCTTTGGGGTTGAAAACATTACATATAAACTGACAGATATGATAAGATCAGAAAATTATGTACTACAACATTGTATATCATACATACTGTTGACAGTAAGTAACCTGGGAGCTCTGGTGGTATAGTGCCTACGGCATTTGACTGCTAACCAGAAGGCTGGTGGTTCAAACCCACCAGCCACTCCTCAGAAGGAAGGTTGGGCAATCTACTTCTGTAGAGATACTGCCTCGGAAGCCCAAGGAGGGGTCTGACTCGACAGCAGTGGGTAATGGGTGCTGACAGTAACCCAAACCAAACCCACTGCCACTGAGTGGTTTATGACTCATACCAGCCCTGTAAGACAGTAGAACTGCCCCCATAGGCTTCCAAGGCTGTGCATCTTTATGGGAGCTGCATGCCACATCTTTCTTACACAGAGCAGCTGATGTACAAAAAAAAAAAAAAAAAGTAAGTGGTTCATCAAGGACTCATTGTACTAGAAATGGTAGGAAACATAGAATTAGCTTGGATTCCTCTATAATGATACTTGTTGTCCTGTATATGCAGTTTTAGGATCAAATAAAAGTCAACGAATGGGGCAAGCTGTTAAAATGGAAATGTATAGTATAAATAATGTACAGTAAAAATAGAGGAGAGAATTTATTATGAATCACTCTATAAATTTTAGTGATCCTGCCCTCTGAGTAAACAGTGGAAATCCACTTTTTATTTGAACTCTTATCCTCACATAAACATCCAGTCAGTCATTATACATGTTCATGTGTATGATTATTAGTGATCCAGAGGTTTCAACACAAGATTTTTCTCTATCTTTAAGATCAGGAGGAGCTCTAGTGGCACAGTGGTTAAGGCATTTAGCTGCTAACCAAAAGGTCAACAGTTTCAACCCACTAGTTGCTCTGTGGGAGAAAGATGAGGCAGTCTGCTTCTGTAAAGATTTACAGCCTTGGAAAGCCTATGGGAGCAGTTCTACTCTGTCTTCTAGGGTTGCTATGAGTCAGAATCGACTCCATGGCAGTGGATTTGGTTTGGTTTGGTTTAAGATCAAGAAGATTGCTTTAGTAACATGCCAAAAGAATGTATGGTCCTTCATGTAGTACTTTATAGTTTCTCTTATACTTGCTAATATTGTTATGGCCACATACATACACACAACACACACACACCCATATACAAATACTTGGCCATAAGGAGAAGTGAAGTCCTGGTACATGCCAAAACATGGATGAACGGTGAAAACATTATGCAGAGTGAATTAAGTTGATTTCAAAAGGACAAATAGTGTATGGTCTCATTAATATAAAGTACTTAAAATAGGCACATATAGAGATCAGAGTTTAGTAGTGATTACCAGGGGTAGGTGGGAAGGAGAATTACTGTTTAGGAAACATTGAGTTACTGTTTATGAGAATGGAAAATTAGGCAAGGGATATTTGTAATAGTTGCATGACATGATTTAATTGATCTCACTGAACTGTAAACATGAAAAATGTCTTGGCGAATGTTTTACAACAATACAACAAAAAAAAGTATGTAGAAAGTCTCTTTATAGGTAACTTACTTGTTAAAATAGTTTACTCCTACCAAGGATCTATGACCTCTAGTAGATGGGCCTGATAGATCTGAATTAAATTTTGATTCAGAAGCATTTATGAGTCACTGAAGTGATTTAGATGGACATCAGGATAATTGTGGCAATAGACTAGGACCATCATTTTTACCATCCTTTTTTAAACTGCTTCTGGATATCTTGAATGTTGAAGGACATATGGTTATTTCATTATTTTTCTTAAACTCTTAGGTATTTCAGTGAAAATTACACCACTGCTGCTCATCAGATTCTGTCCCGCTCAAATCATCCTACATTAGGGTAAGATGGGTGTGTATTAAAGAAACTGATCTCTTAAATTTCAGATGATTATCATTAGATCATTTGAATACTTTCCAAGGTATTTTTTCTTAAATGATATTATTTAATAAGAACCTAACACAGGATATTACATGATTTATTATTTTTAACACTAAATGTGATTGTGAACCAAATTTGTATGTTTTTCAATATATTTTTATCATAGATTAAAATAGAGATAAGAACCTTTATAACATTTTTTGTGAGAAATAGATTAAAAATAAGAATAGGAAATAGCTTTGAAATAGGAATAAGAAAGTGGAATATATATAGCTTTGAAAACTGAAAGTGCAGATTGAGGTCATATTAGCTTTATAATTTTTATTTTAGTTTTATATTCTGATGATAACATTAGATCATAAATTCTCTGACAATGGAGGGAGAAATAGATTATTCAGTGTATTTTAGAGTTTTTTTTTTTTATTTAGTTTCAGATACTCATGTGAACAGAGCTTTATTTTTATTTCTTAGATTATCCCCAGAAAATTAGTAGCCTTTAAAGAACAGTATTTTTGTATCCATTCTAGTGTATTTTTCTTAATTTATAGAGATTATCATAAAATCAATACTGTGTTAGATACAGAACAAAGTATTTCACCAATTGCTTGCATAATTTTAAATTTATCTTATGAGCCATTTGGCTAGCTGGTATAACTGGTAATGTTTCTGACATAGGTATTCTTATGCAATAGTTGGAATCAATCTTACAGAGATGGCTTATAGCTTGCTGAAGAATGAAGCTTTGAAGTTTTATCTCTACAACTTGGTTCCTGGTATACCAACTATGGAACACTTTCATCAGTTTTACTGTGAGTATTAATGCTAATATTGTGAGTTAAAACCAGATATTTCTAAAAGAACTTTTACACCATTAGAAAGATACATAGTTTTGTTGTGTATATTATCAACAACAAAATAAACTTTTAAAAAATAAAAAAAGATACGTAGTTTAACACCTCTGTCAAGTATATAATTTATGTTTGTCAGTTTACTATTTAGCAAATTATGAAACATAGGAAAATAATGGAAGATGAGTCCCCAAGAGTATTTTGTATTTTAGTTTCTATATTTGCTAATTAAAAAAAAAACTGAGGCAATTTTTTTCACATGTATGCAAATTTAGGATTTGTGTAGTTTTTCTTTGTGTCCTTTTTCCAGTCAACTAAAAAAAAATGAATTTTATCTCTTGAATACAGGTTAATAAATTCTGTTGAGTCAAAGATAGACCATTTATAGATTATTTTGTTACTATTTAAGGAAATATAATTCAAAAGAACTTTTCACCCCAATTTTCATGACTACTTTCCCTTGTAGTAAGTTGGGGGTGCTTATTGTCTGTTCCTAAAGCAGTCATTATTAACACTTTTCCTATAACTTTTATTGTAATGATATTTAAACACTGACGGTTTAATTGAATAAATCCCATTTTGAAATATTGCTCAGAAGAATTCAAATTTAGTTTACCTTCAGTCTTGTTCCTTGATCTTTTTGTATCTTTAGAATGCCATTTGCATTAAGTAAATGGCCAAATTTTAACTTCTCCAACTCTACTGTTGAAGCTATTATTCAAGACTCCCGTTCCCTCAGCTCCCTGATTTACTTAATTCTTAATTCCAGTTTTATCTACATCATAATTTTTCATTGGGTGCTCTGATGGCATAGTGCCTAAGGTATTTGACTGCTAACCAGAAGGTTGGGAGTTCAAACACACCAGCCATTCCTCAGAAGGAAGACTGGGCAATCTACTTCCATAGAGATACTGCCTTGGAAACCCAAAGACTATGAGTTTGGTTTTTTTTTTTGGTTACTTTTGCCTTATGTTTGTCTACTTCTCATCCCCATTGTAACTGCACTAATTCAGACCTTTGTTATTGGATTACTATGATAGCCTTTTAAATAGTCTCTCTATTATGACCCCGTTCAAATTTTTCTCCACATTAGAAATCTAGTTATTTAAAATCTCATCATTTTACTATACTGCCTAAATCCCCATTACAAGACTGTATTATCCAGACCTTAATAATCTCTCCAGACACATCTTTTGCCACATACTTACTCTCCATACTATAATTTAGTCATATTGATTTTCCTTTCTATACTTTCTCTTGCCTCTGGACCTTCTGACATGATATTCAATCAGCCTGGACACTTTCCTTTATTTCCAGGTGATGCTACTGATCCTTGAAATCTTAGTTTCTCTGGAAGGTCTTATCAGAGACTTTGTTCCTTCAGTTATCCATTTCTTTCCTCATTATTCATCTCTGCTTATCTATTTGACTTTCTTCCAGACTGTAGCCTACCTCTGTAACTCTCATTCATTCATTCACTTGCTGTATGCCAAATGCTGTTCTGGGCACTGAAAATAAAGTGAAAAATAAGGCAAAGTCCCTATATTCATGGAGCTTTCATATTCAATAACACTATAAAATTTTACCAGGTGTCATTGCACTCCAAATACCACCCCATATCTCTATTATTTATTTATTTATTTAATTGTGATTTGGGTGAAGATTTACAGAGCAGATTCGCTTTCCATACAGCAGTTCACATATACTTTGTCTCATGTCATTGACCACAGTTTACCACA